ACCAGATATGGCTCCATCAACCCACCCTAGATACCTGCCTAGAGCTTCCAGTGTCCCTTTGCCACCTTTTCAAGCAAACAAGAGGGGGATCTGTATTAAATCTGATGTTCTCTCTACCTGATGCCACCATAAGCTGTTCAGCGCCCACCAAACACAGCAGCACTTGGACCCAAGCCGAAGCCACCAGACCCTCCCAAGAACATTCGAGGTAAGGCCATGCCTGTCCCCAAGGACGGGGCAGGGCGGGTTTCTCCCCCAGTGCCCGTAGGCCAGGACAACCCACCCATCGTCGGCATGACCCACCATCGTACAATCTGCTCTCCTACTCAGAGTGTCCACCTCAGCTCAGTTCTGCTCATCCAGCCCCATGGAGATCTTTTTGGAGAGGTGTTTGGGGCTGGGATGGCTGCAGAGGTGTCCCTGGGCCCCAGGAGAGCCCATGGGCACCTCAGCTGCTTTGGGAAGGGGTTTCTTGCCACAGGGCGAGGGGCACGCACCTTCCCCCAGCCAAGATTAATTGGGCAAGATTAATTGGGCTGATCGGCTGCTCTGGCCCAACAGGGCCAAGCCTCCTTAGCAGATCACCCTGCTTCCAGTACCCCGTGGAGCCTCCTCACGGCCATGGCCCCCTCCTCATGAGGGATAGGCACAACCATGGGGGTTTCTATGCAGGTATATGGCCCCGAGGGCCACCAGCAGCACCCACTGCAGAGATGTGGGGCTTTGGAGCACCCCGGGGACCCACTGAGCTGCTCCTTCACCTCTGGGCTGAAGAGGAGACACCTGAGGAGGCCCCGGTGCCACAGCAGACTCACAAATGGCGTCAGAGGCAGGAGCGGGCCCGCTCTGACCATGGCTGAGCCTTAGGGGTGGGGAGCACGGCCACCTCCTGCCATCGCTATCACTGTGGGGTTGTGACCAGCACCAGTGGGATGTAGCTGGCAATGCCTACCCAGCACCTCCCTGAGAACCACGGTGCTGTGCAAGGGCTTGCACCCCACAAAAACTGGTGGGACCCATTCCTAAACACCCTGTGGGATCTCAGCGCTGCTCAACCTTGCCCCTTACTGGGGTTACCAAAGCACTAAACCCCCCAAGCACCAAACCCCATCAGCTCGATTTGGAAGCGATGGCCTTTACCCCCAGCGCCCCGGTCATTCTGTGTGGGACGGGGGTCTGGCTGGCAGCACAGCCCCGAGGAAGCACCGTCCTGGCTGGGGCAGCCCCTTACCCTGAGGGATTATCCCAGACCAACTGTGCTGGGCTGGCCCTGGGAGCCCTCTCCCCACCACGGCACTCAGATGTGTTTTATCCTCTCGCGTAGCAGCTCCAAAGAGCAAAGCAGGGCGCACAGCACACTCTGCAGGCAAGAGGCACGGGAAGAAGCCAGGTACGTGCTGGCAGGGACAAGCTGGGCTGGAGCGGCGCGTGCTTGGCAGGACCCCGTAGCAAGCCCTGCCAGATACCACCTCCGTAGCGCTTGTGCTCTTAGCTGTACTCCCAGCAGCTTTTTGGGTGCCGGTTGGCATGACCTCCATCAAACTGAGGCCATGGTCAGTAGATTTCTTTTTAAGCTTTTTAGACTGGTAGATCCTTATCCTGAATAACCCAATTCGTGCCACTGAACATGCGTAACGGGGGGATGTGCGAGTAGCTCCTCTGCCTCGGCCCCCGGCTCCGCGCATTGCAATCGCGTGGTGCATTGAGTTTTTCATGCATCAAACTTTGAGGGGAGAAGAAGAGGAGAAATCTAGCAGCTACCAGCTGGCTGGTGCAGAAATAGACGCCAGCGCTGCCAGAGCGGTGTTCTTGGCTCGGCTCGGCATTGTTCTCGTAGCAGAGCTGCTCGCGGTAGGGTAGGATGTGGAGCGGTGCTGAGCGGTGAGAAAAAGCGTGTCTCTGATTTTTCTTAAGCATCCTCAAAGAGCTCAAAACTCATCCGGCTCAAACCAGACTCTGTCCCAGTGGCTTCTATTGAAACGTATAAAGGTAAGAGGAGGGAGCGCGGTGCTCCAGGGCTCCTAGTCTTCCCCCAGGTGATGTGGCCCAGCAGCCTCCGACATGGAGAAGATGGGGAGGGTTTGCCTATCCGAGCGTGATGAGCTGTGTGTAGGAGTGCATCCCTAGGGTGAAACAACGCTTGGGAACTGCAGCAGCCAGAAGTGTTTGAGCTGAAAGTATTTGGGATTAGTCAAACAGGCAGAGGTTGTTTCACAGAGGGTCAAGATTACAACGGACTCTCAGCTCCTCCTCAGGCAGCTGTGAACCATGGGGAAACCTCTGCCCTGCTCCATCTTCCCTGGTCATCATTTCATTGAGACAAGTCTCCTCCTCCAGTCACACGTGCATGCCAACCCACACCCTTCCCTCCCATCCTTGAATGTTTAATGCTAGAACTTGGAACAAAACCCCAGCTCCAAGCCTCCCTCCTCCTTCTCTCCGAAGGCTGGGGAAGCTCAGACATGGCTGACACTGTTTCTGCTCACATTATCCCCTGCCAGTGCTGGCTGGGACACCTCCTGACCAGGGCCACAAGGCAACTAGGGTACCTCCTCTCCTCCTGCATTATACTTTTAAACTTCCAGAAAGATCCAGCATCCTGAATCTGACACTGCAAGGTAGTCACCATCCCATCACGGTAATAAAAAGCAAACACAAGAAGCAAGTAATCAAATTCCTCTGGCTACAAATTAAACCTACCTGGTTGTTTTCTAACACACGCCCGCAGCTGAGAGAGGTCAGCCCTGGGGACAGGAGCAGTGCTCGGCCAAGTGATGGTGGCATCTCCCACCCCGCCAGCAGCCTTCGCAGGCGTCCCTCTGCTGTACCAGGCAGCCCTGGTTCAAACCCTCACAGGCTCCCTCACCATCTTTCGAAGGAGCCCACGCAAGCCATGCTTTCTTGCATACACTCATTTTAAGCCTTTAACCTGAGAGTCACCATACTTCACAACTCGTATTGATTTGGGAGGTACGACAGCAAGGGGGATGCTGAGACGGGATGCTGAGGGGAAAAAGCCAGAGAAGTGGCAAGGTTTTACCTGGGCACGCAGCAGCTTCAGCTCCACTTCAGCCTTGTCCCAGGGCTTTCCCGTCACCGGAGGCAGCGAGCGCTGCTGCACCCTCTGCCAGCCCCATCCCACGGGCCTGTCCCCTCCTTGCCGCAGCAAGGCCAAGAGCAGCCTTTGGCAGAGCCTTTGCTGGGGCTCTGCACCCCAGCACAGCTCCCTTGCAGGTCCTACAGCCACCCCCCAGCCAAACCCAGGCACCAAGTTGGGCTCTGCTCATTAACAAGGCAGCTCTTTAACGAACACCTGACTCCCCTCCACAGCCCACTGGCTGCTCCCATGATTAGGCATTTCCTTAAAGAGATCATGTCCTGGGGCAGCCAGGGGCTGGCTCCTGCCTGTCCTCACCCCCAGGTGACAGAGCCCCCTGACCCCTCTCTGGTCTCTGAGCAATGACTTCCAGCCTGATCCCCCCTATGGCAGTGAAGAACAGCAGCCGCTGTGTG